CCGCTATGATCTGGTTGTGTCAAATCTCCCGTATATCTTCTACATCCATCTCTTCCTTATATCTTCTAACATGTCAACAATTGGCATTGTTCTAACCTCCCTTATCCATGAGTTAAATGACTCACTCCAGTTGTTAGTGCTGACTTAACAATGGGATCAAACCCATGTCTAGACCATGTGTCAAGGGGGGCTCTACATAGCTAATCATAGGCATTTATGGAGCTTCTCTTCACTACTTCTATATAGTAATTAAAGTCAGCTTGTGTGAAGGACTTCTCGGCAGCCCATAAACACCTTTTAATGTCTTTCCCTTGTATGTTTTCTTGAAGTTGCTATACAGGTGTCATAGACAGAATCGATGGTTTGTCCCGGACATGCATACTAAAACACCATCGACCATACCCTACCAACAATTAATTGGTTTGTCAAAAATCAATATACACACAATCCAATAATATAACAAATATAATCAAATTATAGCATCCATACACACCTTCTGCCTGTCAAAAATAAATGTCCATCTATGTGGGTCATTAATACTCAAGGAATCTTTTAGTTCCTCAAAAGCCACATCTAGCTTTCCTTGTTCTCAGCCTCTACTATAAAATAAGTAATTAGGAATATACCATTATTCTCATCAAGTCCCATTGTTGATGGTATCACCCCTCCGGTAGCACCAGTCTTCGTGTGGCAGCGATCCAATCCAAAAAGTTTTCTATAACCCTCTAGGAAGCCAAGTTTTGATCCTCCAAGGAATATGAACACTCTATTGAATGTTCCAAAACTGCCATCTGCTGTAGCCATTAGAGCATGCAACTTAACAATTGACCTAGGGTTTCTGTTGAATAATGTTATGCAATATTGGGCAGCTTTGCATATGATTTGGCCAAAGATCCCCTAATCTTGTCAATAGCCTTGCACCGGGCTCTATGAACCTTTATGAAGATTTTATTCCATATCGCAATCTGATCTCATATCTAAGTACATTGACTGACATGCTAGGGTTAACCCTTAAAAGATCCTCTATCTTGGTGGACAACCAAGTATTTGTTACCTCCCTGTTTGTGGTCACCCTCAAATAGGTATGTGTGTCATTTATTGTTTTCACTATGAAACTACCCCCATCATGACTCAAGGAAGCATGTATCCTCTAGCTACATGAACTGTTGGCACAAACACCGGTAAACTTGCATTTCTCATTCTTCTTTCTCTGGATTTCAATGCCCTACACCACATAGTATTGCCGCAAAGCCTCCCTAAACTCATTGACATTTGCAAATACCATGCCGACTAAGAATTTTGGCTTAAAGAAGTCAAATTCATGCAGGCCTTGTCTGTTGTCCTTGCCCCTTTTGAAACCAAATTCATCATCACATGGACTATCATAGTCAGTTGCTGGTTCATAGTCTGGTAGGTTAGTTGTATCCCCATTCCCACCTTTGTTTCCTTCTCCATCCATAGATGTACCACATTATACACCTTCACCCTATACACTCCCACCATCATCATCAGGTAAATCCCCCTCAGTATCCAACTCATCAAACTTGCTTTCAAACCCCTCATTATCTCCCTCAACATCTACATCACCTTAACTTTCAAGTCATCAACATCACCATGTGCACCATCATCTGAAGGAGACTAAACAACACAACAGTCATCATCACCTTCAAATTTTCCCTTTCCCTTTCCATTGATACCAGCACTTACATTTTGCATACTACCCCTGTCATCCACACTTAGACTTTTTGCTTCAAGATGTGTAACATAGAACAATATCTCATGCAGCTCACCATGAGCACAAACATCTCCAACATGTCATTTTCACAACCCAATAACCTAAGTTGTTCTTCTAACTCACACCATGGTATCTTATAATTAATAGTCACCACACTTCCATTAGGTACCCCACCCAATTTTCAAAAGTTATCAATAATGTCTAGGAAGCATATCCGGTCACTATCAATGTTTTCTACATATCCCACCTCACCATTCACATATAACAACTTTCCCATTGATGGTCTTCCACTAACAACCATAGTTGACAATGAAAAAGTACTTGCCTCTATCCATTTCCTACATTAGGGAAACAGAAAATTCATCCATGTATATATAGAAGTATTTATATATCAAAACTCATTAAAAAGAAGTATTCACATATCAAAAAATTCAGCCATTTGAAAGTTAATTTAACACTTAAACACATCAAAACCCATTAAAGAGAAGTATTAGAAAATTCATCCATTTGAAAGCTAAGTTATCACTTAAACATATCAAAACCCATTCACATATCATAAAAATAGTCGTTTGAAAGCTAAATTATCACTTAAACATTAGTAGTCCAAAGGCTACATTGGTGGTTCAGGCATTGATCCAAACAACTAGTTTTATTCCCAAGAGGCCAAGTATGCCAACATTGCAACCTTGGTGGTTAAGGCATTAAACCGAACACCTGGTACTGTGTAACACTATGAACCCATGTGTTTCTTTAAGCTACACACATGTGGAACCCACGTGTCCATTGTAGCAAACACATGGGTTGCCACATGTAATAACCCTATGAAACACTGATGAACTGGTCGGTCCCCATGCCTATGAAATGGTCCCCCTAACACTAAATGACAGAACCAGGCATGTCAGAAAAAGGGTGTACAAGAATCTCTATACATACCTTATTGTTTGAGGATTACGAGAAGAAATATATACAATTTTTGACTTTTGTTGATCCCACTGCAAGAAAAATATAAAAAAAGAAAATCCATGTAAGATAAAGAAAAAGAGACAAAGCTCATATTTAATTAAGTTGGTTTTAGGGTTTAGTGCCATTGAAACTCATTTTAGGGTTTAAATAACCTCACAAAGACTCGTTTTAGGGTTAAAATAACATCACAGAAACTAATTTTAGGATTTCTCACAGTCGAACCACCGAACGGAAGTTGAAGCGGTGTCCGTTGCAAGCGACGACGAACTTCTCTACTCCAACTAGTGACGATAATGTTCTCTGCTTGGGGTTTTCCTCTACACATCTTCTTTTAAGTATATGGGAAAAATAGTTTTACTATTTGGCGTCCATCCGTAATGTAAGGGCAAAATGGATTTTCCGTACACCTTTGTTACGATTTAACGACTATGGTAATTGTCAAGAATAGTAGGGGTACTTTAAGACAATACTAAAATAGTAGGGGTAGTGTTAGTCAATTTCCTAAACCTTATGGGTAGTTTAAGAAATTTGCCCTAATTTGTATTCTTTTTTTACTTTTTTAACGGCTTTTAAGTCTATTTGTTTTGAAAGAAAGGTAAGGAAATCTATACAAGTTCTGGTTTTGTATAGGCTTTCCAATCTTTAAGGTTGTATTTGGTTTTGTTTGGGTTTTTCTATCTTTTTCTTTTAAAACAATCACAGCCTAAACAAAAAATAATTTAAATAATTTATAATTTTCAAGTTCTTCGCCAAACTAAAAGGAAGGAAAAATCACAGTGTTTGAAGACTAGGGGTTTACAATCGGTTGATTCAGTTTAGTTTGGTTCAAACCAAGGGCCTAACCGACTATTCGGTTTTACCATTTCCTCTAACCGAATCAAATTGAATTATATCTTAGATCCAAACCGACCCTTACTGAATTCGGTTAAGTTAGACCCTGGTTCTACATAAATGACAAGCATTTAAAAAGTGTTATTAATGAAAAGTTAAAATGGCCCCAAAATCCAATGGTTTTAATTATTAACTATTATTAATTAAAAATTAGAATGACCCCAGAGCCCAATGGTTTTAATTAATTAGATATTTTTAATTAAAAGCTAAAATAGGCCCAAAACCCTATGCTAATGGAGAATTGGTGAATTGGCCATTTTTAAAAGTAATTAATGATTAATAAACAATTAATGACTAATAAACAATTAATAATGAGTCTAGTTTTAATTAACTATTATTAATCGTTCATTGGAAAATATAATAATTAATTAGCATAAAATATTAAATAAAACATTAATATTTAATATACTTAATTAAATAACATCATTAATTCGGTTTTTGGTTCGATTCGATTGAAATTTTCAATCAAATCAAACCGAAACCGAAACCGAAAACTGATTTAAAAAAAAATAAAAATCTTACCGAACTAATAGCTGAATTAACTTATTCGGTTTAATTCGGTTCAATTTTTTATTTATTAACCGAATTTGGACAACCTATTGAAAACGATGTAACTGCATATTTGTAGAGAATGCAAAAGAAACCGGTTCACACGAAAATGCAAATCGGTTCAGCTAAACACATACACAATGCCCCCATTTTATTCGGCAGTGAAGAGTGCAAAAGGAGACGAAATTACAACTCTCTTGGGTTCTCTGTTTTGGTTGCAAGAAAGAACAATGGCCCTAATTGGGTGGTGTTGGAGAGAGATGAAGATGCTTCATGAGAGATGAAGATATTTCGATTACAATCTTTAGCATGTTTATATAATTTATTTACATAAAAAAAAATCTAAACATTTACATTCAAAATGATCAATATTAAAAAAGGTATATTTCAATGCAAAATTAAACTAAAATCTGCATTTGCATAATAATAAAAATACGGAGAAGATTCAAAAATTTGAATGACATTCCTCCACCAAATTAAAACGAAAAAAAAACAAAAGGAAAGAAAAGAAAAAAAAAAGACATGGGTGGCATGACCACGTGAGTTTATGTATCAATCCATGTGGACGGTGATGTCTACGTTCGGCCACTAATAGCAGAACACGTCTATTATTCATAGTAATCACATAGAGATCGATGACGTGGCATGGCTGGATGACAACGATCATAAATCTTCTTCATAATATCTCCACGCGCCTATAGCATAGTGATATCCACTCTCCCACACGTGTACGGTGGAAATGACTTAACATGTCCATTTCCCATAATCCCGTGACAATTGACGCGACATCAGCTTAGGATTCGGACAAGTTTGCAACGGTAAAAGGACGCGTGGCAGATAATTGATATGCGATCGAGTCAGAGTGGGTCTTATCGGAGAATTAATTCAACTGGAAGACGGGAGAGAGAAGCTTTGAGAAGTTGTTGTTCTGGAGCGAAGGAGGGAGGGAGAGAGGGAAGAGGCATAAAGAGTTAGTTTCTGCAACCTATATGGGTTTATTTTGTTAGGGTTGAATGGTTCCTTTTCACACATGGGGCCTGTTCGTTTCCTCTTAATCAATCTGTTGAGCTGAGCTGTTATTTTTTTATGAATTTCTTTTTGTTTGAAGAATTCGAATTTCTTATTTTGGTCAGGAACGAGAACGACATCTGAAATCCTCCTCCGACCTCTCTCCTCTCGACGGAGCTGAAGCAGAAGTCGGTTTTCCCTTCCTAATTCCGATTGTAGTAGGAGTATATGGAGTGGTGGGACAAGGTCACATTTCCCCTGCGCAAGGTCTGGATCGGCGTTGCTACGCGTCTCGGCATTCGTAAAAGCGGTACGTTTCATTTGATTGATTGATTGTTAGGTTCCCCCTAAGGGCCTAACCCACTCGAAAGAAAAATATATCTGACCGGAGATTTCCGGCCGGAACTGGTTGGTATGAACCCTGAGTCATGAAATGTTGCATGGCCGATAAGGGTTCACTCCTCACTGTCAATTTCTCAGCAGAATCACTGATTTTCTTCGGGATTCCACGGCAATCAATCCATACATCAAAATTTCGTGTGACGTCCTGCTGCTTCCGTCTCATGTGTGATGTGCGTACCCGCCCCCCCACTCCATGCAGTTAATTAGGTCTTCTTGATCTATGTTATACTGTTGTGTAGAAAATTACTTAAAGGGGCATGATTTACCCCATGTAAATGTCAGAGTAGTCCAAAATTTTCCTACCTTGTTGCTTTACGCAGTCAGGTTTTAATTCCCTGTTGTTTCATCGGTTGTAAATGAGAGTAAGCAAAGGAGTTGGAGTTGGAAACCTCTCCAAACTAATTGGGTATCTGCTGACGGTCACAGCAGGATTTTTCCTCCAAATAAACCCCCCTGAAGTATATAAAAGGAAAAAGTATATATATTATTGGATGGATTTCTGTGTACTATGATTTATGATTTTATATTTCAGTCAAAAATTTACATTTCAGTTTGGTTTGATTGAAAATCTAAGAGAAAAACAGAAGTTGAGGAAAAGTTTTTAAGAGATTTTGTGAAATTGGTTAAGAAAAAAGATGTTTTCCTCATCTTTCTGTTTCACTCTTGTTTTCTTTTCTTCCGGACCAAACACAGCTTAAATCCCGTAGCTTTAACACGATTTTGTATTTTATTTTATTTTTATTAAGCAGGGCTATTGAAGCTGCGGCACGATGTGAGAAGGTGCGAGTACGAGGACGTGAGAGTGATGTGGGAAATGCTGAATAGGAACGAGTCGTCGGAGATTAGTCGCTCCCCATCCAAGAAGCGAAGAAAGAGACCCCTTTGGAAGATCGTCGCCTGGGCCCGCCATGCTCCTAGCATGTGCCGCGGCTTCTGACTCTGTGTCATCTGTGTTGTGTGGATTTTTACATTACATGTTACTAATAGTTTCCCGTCAATATAGTCCAGTCTATCTAGTATAGTAAAAACCCCTAAACAAAAAGATATGTTTGTTATCAATCAATCAGACCGTATCCATCCATTTGTGGTAAATAGTACAACAGATGACTTTCATGATGTCGGAAAGTCATGATACCGGAACCAGCCGGTGGTATCAGTTCATCGGTCAAATATAAATATGCAGTCGAATACTATGTATTATTATTACATATATATATATGTATGTCAGTCGTTTGTAAATATAAATCTGCAGCAGTCGTTTGATGACATTTTGCATGCACTAAGAGGTCGTTTGATAGTGTTGAATCGGCCTCCGAATACTACTACGGTCGTTCGTTGCACCTCCGAACGCCGAAAGATTCATAGTAGTTAGTCGGCAGTCGGCCTACCTCCAAACGCAGTAGCAGCAGGAGGTAATAGACAAAAATTGTTTTTCACTTTTTCGGCCATGTCCCTTAAAAACCTGAAACTCCCGCATCGCCTCTTCTTCTTTGTCCTCCCTCGGAGTATCCCGTGTCTCGTCCTCCCTTCCCTGTTGAACTAGTTGCAACATAAATTTTTGTAGCATCAATTAATGGCCGTTGAAATCTTCCACAGAAGACAACACCATCTCTATTATCCTCTGAATCGGAACGTCACAAGTCACCACCACTTCCTTTGTGAATCGAAATCGACAGTGGTTGTGTTAAAAGGTCAGTGGAAGTCTATTTACTCGATGATTGAACAGCAGCGGCGAAGAAACGCTCTAAATCGAAGTTGGTTATTGGATGTGAATCAGAGAATAGAAGATTTTGTGCAGAAAGATCAACAATGAATGTAGATATGGCTCCTCCTTCAGGTAGGTGATCGAAAATATCGAAAACGGCAACGAGGCTAATGGCACTTTCAGTGGCAGAGTGATTATGATGGTGGCATTGCGAGACCTTAGGATTTAGGGACAGTGGGTTCGGCAATACCCCCCCCCCCCCCCCCCAACTCAATTCTCTGTTTTTCTAACCCACCAAATCCCACAACCCATCTCTCTCTCTGGACTTGAACTTTCTCGGTAACTCTTTGGTCATACTGTCAATTGTAACAGCTGACTCCACCAAAAATTGTAATTAAAAAAGCAAATTTGCTATTAGAGGAAACTTGAGATTTACAGAATGCCACCTAAGCATTCAATGCAACAGATTACAGAACATAGCTATGAGATGGTGCATTAATATTCAATAGGCCAGAAAAGGTGGTAAATAAATTTTACTTCAAAGACATGTAGATGTGCTGGGCTTCGCACTAGCTTTTAAGTTGTTTTCTAATTCAAATTAGAAAATCAGATCATATCATTTATTAACAAATTAAATTTGATTTGAATTTCCTAATCGTAAAAGGAAAATAAATACCATAAAAAGCTTCAAAATGTTATATTGGTATGGTCTTAGTTCTTCTAGATAAACTGATAAAGTGGGTTAATTAATCACAAAAGAAACCTAATTTAGTGTCCCGAATAAAATAAAATAAATAAACTTGATCTAAAGACTTGCCTCCTGTATGGTGATTCTCAAACAAAATAAATACATATAGTATATCAACTTCGGTGGCACTGCAATACAGGATTGAGAGACATGGGTTCACAACTTTGATGGCAAGGTTCAAAGTATTCTTATCGGCCGATATGTATTGTTCCGGGACCCTTCCGATACACCCCTACAGTGGGTGTATTGGGGTCTGACCGGTTCAGGGGATGGAGGGGTCCTAGACCGGCTCCCCTGAACCAATTTAAAAATAAAAAATAAAAAATAAAAACAAGTATTGAAACGCCTGATATACCCCTACCGACGTATCAGGTGTATCGATATTTTGAACTTACTTGATGGTTGAACATACCATCAGAATTTGCAGTAATATTGTTTTCCCTAGGTCCGGCTCCATGAGAAAGTGGGTTATTTCGTTTCAGATAACCGAGCGTGGCCTACCTGATCAAAGAGTTGGTTAGACCAAGGTGTACCAGAAATAGCTGCTGAAATCGGAAAGGGTTAGGGATGCAATGCCCTTAATCCAAGCACCGGCTGTGGCCTGTGGCTTTATCCTTTTTTCTTACTGGTTATCACAGTACTGGGCTATATTAGCACACATTGCCGTTGTCATGGAGATCACCCATACAATTCCTCGCTATTATGATTATCGTCACTACCACCAACACCCCCATTTTCTCTATGGTTAAACAGCATCAAAGTATTTGGTAATCAATTAATACTCGTGGCATTTTTGATGGTGCAATTGCTAGGTTTAGCACAAGTAAACCCAACGTCTCTAAGTACAATTTGCCTATCTATACTATTAGTTCTGCCATTACCTAGGACAGACACCAGAGTAGCAGAGACAGCAGAGGGATGATCCCCAACATTTTCAGTAGTATTGGAATTGTTAATTAGGCGGTGGTCGGGGAGGCTGAGCTGTGCTGCTGATTCTTGTACAAAGTTTAAGCAACTAAGAAAAGAAAATAATTTTCAAAAGGGCCGAGTATGTTTGGATGTAGAAGGGCAAAAAATTAGACTTTTTGGTAAGTGCAGAATGCTGTAAAATTTTATTTTCATCCCTCTTACATCCAGACAATTGCAATCTTTACCGAGGCACCTTTATCGTGGTAAATCTTCATAATATGGGAGGATGATCTGGCAATCATCTGGTGGAATGGAGAAACAGGATTCTAGCTGACCCCATATGGTTGGGATAAGGCTTAGATGATGAAGACGGTGATGTTGATGATCTGGCAACCATCTGGATCCCTATTAAACAACCTCCTGAGCTGTGATTTAAGATCTGCATCCTCTGCAGATCCCCCTGCAACATGAACCCTATTGTTAAACTGATCCCCAAATGGGTGAGTGCACTGACAAACAGAACAGAAACAATGAAGAGTGTACTAGGGACAACACCTCCTGCTGTCCTCACCAGGACCTAAGGTACTACAGTTCACACAGCCAGACACAGGTCATTTCTCCTGCTCTATGTCAAGGACATGGAACTTTTTCATTTGTCAATCATTTTTTTTTTTTTTTGTGTATTCTTGAATCTGAAATTTAACAACTAAAACAATATGGTACTTGTTCACCTTGTCTGTTACTGCAATTGTTGCAGAGAAGGATCATTCACTGTATGAGAATGTAAGGCCAGCTCTATGTCAAAGACATTGGTCGCAATTCTTGTATCATCCATGTTGATGATCACCGAGAAGAGATTCTCTCATGCTGATTGACCTGTAGTTGTGCAAACAACTGTTGATAAGTAAAGACATGGGGGCCAGGAGGCCTCTAATATATCCACCAATGATAATGATGAAGATCCCATTAGAACACTTTCTGTCCATATCACAAGTTTTCTCATGACCATCTGGAAGAATGGAACAATTGGATGAAAGCTAATATGTATATTTTTTTTGATCAATTGGATGAAGTTAAATAGATTGAATTTACAAGGATCTGGCAATACTTGGAAAGTCTTGTGTTTCACCGACAACGAAACATTGGTCAGATTCCAAACACTCAACAGATTATTGAGGGGCACTTTTAGATAACCTTTTTTTCCTTTTAATCCTTGCTTATTTTACATAAATTAATAGAGAGTGTGCATGATGCTTGCCATTTTTCCTATAGAATTTTAACTACATAACAAATAAACTTCTAGAACTTTTTATGTAGGTAATGCTAGGACTAAAGACTGCTTACTGTTTTAGTAGTATATACTTTTCTCTAGAGATGTGTAAACAATACATTTTTTTGCCATTCCAAGTTAGATTACTAGACATATATCGGGTTCTGATTCCCATGTAGTTCATTTAATCCATCTTAGATCTACTACTCTGCTAGTGTGAGTATATAATTAAAAAAAAGAAATGTAAGCAAGCACAACTGTAGAATTAGACAAGATTTCAATAGATGTATGTAACAAAAAACGATTGGCATAGAAGTGTCATTGTAGCTTATAGTAAACTGTGAACACGTTTCAGAATTGGAAGAGCAATATGACAAATAAGTTCAATAGAGAATGTATCCAACCAATAGTACCATGAGAAAAGAAAATGGTTTAGATCCTTGATATGAGTAAGATAGTTCAAAGGAATTCTGATTCCAACCAGAAATTGGTTAGAGTACAATAAAAAGAGTGAAAAACTCAAGCAAAAGAATAGTATAGACTGTATCTTTCCTTGTCACTCGTACTACACAAAGGAATTTTGGTGCTCAAGTCCTGTATGAGTAAAATACTTGAAAGGAATTCTAAGTCCTACAGTAATTGGTTGGAATACACCAAAAAGAACAAAAACGTCAAGCAAAAGAGTTGTTTAAATTGTATCTTCCCTTATCACCGATAGTACAGAAAGGAATTTTGGTGATAAGTCTTGTATGACTTATATTCATTTAAACATGGTGTTCGATTTGATTCATAGCCCATATAGCTAATAGGGCAGAAACAAGGAAAGTTTGCCAATTGCAGTAGAAGAATAAGTGAAAGAATGTGTAACAAAAAATAGTTTATTCAATATCGCTGCTTCAATTTGCAAACCAATTCTCTACTAATAAATGCAGATTCTTTAGGAAAATAAAGCTTTATTTACAAGAACAAGTTAATACAATATAGAATAATAGATATCAGTTGAGATTAATAAAAAAAAAATAATAATAATAGATCAGTTGAAGAAGGCCATTGAACTTTCTAAATTCTGAGGTTCTTTGTAGTATCTGGATGTTTACATTATACTGTATACCATGCCCCACAAACCCAGGAAACACTGGTGATTATACTTGTATGCGACATACTCATTCTGACCCAATTCTTCAATTATTTGTAGCACACAACTTATTTCCTGCTGTGGATTCTAAAAATTGCATGACAGATGAAGGTCAAGATACACATTAAAATGTATCTTAATCTAGTCTGCATAATTTGCTTGATGAACTTGAATTTGCTATTCTGTTAAATACTGATGTATGTACCAATTAGTATTCTCTTCTTCATTCCTCGGATGCACGGAAGCAAATCTTCTCAAGTTCCATAGGCCAATCTTCTCCAAGCATCTGAGGATTTAACTCCATTGCAACCCGAAAGTCCAATAAAGATGCAGAAACAGAGTTAGTGGATCTTTGCATGGATCTCTCTGGCCGCATTTTGTTCAAACCAGGTTTGGCAATCCTGTTAACTTCCCTTAGGTGTTGATGCCCACATCTTAACCCAGCAAGTTCTATACAGGGCTTAATCAACCTCTTTAAATACACATCCAGTCCATTGTTTAACAGATTAACACAGTCCACCGAAATTCCGAGGCCCTCCATCTCCAGCTTCTGCTCCAGCCGTTTCCTCAAAGACCTAGTGTCAGGTAGCTCATAGCTGTTATGACAGGTCTCAAGGTGAAAAGCAGATAGGAGTCCATTACGAAGAGCTTTACGTGATCCACTCATATTAATGGGGATACCAAGAGGAGCTCTGACAGGGCTTCTACTTTGAACGCTTGGGCTGGCAGCCACTTGTTCAACCTCTTCCCCATCTTCTACAGAGACAACTTCCGCAGGGGGTCTGCTACCAAGAGAAAACAGTTCCGTAGCACTTTGCTGCTCTTGGGCAGGAGCTCGTTCATCACATACCGTACCCAGTATCTTCCCATGAGGCCTAAGTGGACTTGGACCATCCCCAGACTTGCGATCTTGAAGGCCTGAAGACTTCTCCTTGCGTGGGGATGTAGTAAAGACTTCTCCAGAGAGCATCTGAAGATTATTTCTTTGATAGCCGAACCCATTTTTAACATTAAGGGAACTTTCTACCCTTCTTCTCAATGGGGGAGACTTGGCAACACAAGCATTTCTGAGAATTGTTCTAATAAGCCGGTTGTGGAGAGAGACATTCTTCCTCCCAATGGTATTAATGCAGAGCTTATCAAACTCGGCTTTGCTAAGCTTGAAACTTAATAACCTGCTGAGGTAACTAAAATATTTCTCTGCCTTCTGATGCCCCAACTTCTTGACGATCTGAGCTTTCAACTCTAGAGTGTCAATTCGGGGGGAATGTCGACATGTCGACATTTCCATCTCCGAGTTCCGCACAATCATCAATATCGGACCTCGAGCACAAGCAGAAAACCTAGAAACAATCCAAATTAAAAAAAAAAAAGGCTACGCTCTTAATTCCGAACGCGAAACCCTAGTCGCTGGAATCCATGTCTATCGCAAACGTGTATGGAAATTGCATTGAGGAAGTAAACAATACTTCACGAATTTAGCTGTGGTAACGAATTCTGGAAAGAAAAGGAACAAAACCCATATAAGAATTGATCTCAAAACGCAGTGTATCAAGTTCGTTGAACTCATAAAATCCTAAATTTCTTAAACTATGAAAAAGAAGTAGAAGCACTACATAAAATTTCCCTTCCCTATTTCCAATTCACAAACCAACTGTTAAGAACTTACAATAACAATGGAGAAGGAGCAATTTCCCTGGGTCTTGAAGATTAATTTGGATTGCAAGGAAACCCTATTGAGATATGAAGAAAGCATTAACCCCACAAAGCTAAATACGACTTTTAACGAAGAGAGAAGATTAAGTAAGAGGGAAAGCAGGACGGACCTGGTTCAGACGGAGTGCGTGATTGGATTGTCTTCACCTTCTTATTTCCGGTATTTCGGCTTTCGATCGTTGTTTGTCTTAGCGTATGTTAACGTCGTTGTGCGCTAACAGGTGAGAGGGGGGAGAGAGAGAGAGACGACGGCGAGACGAGCTTCCGGACTTTCTTAGTTTGGGTCAAACGGCACGTGCGTTTCCCATTGTCAGTTGGAGTTAAAACTCAAGTTAGATTATTATAACGAGCAAAGGACGCGCCGCTTCACGCATGATAGTGAATGTAGTTTCAGATAGAGGGGTTAGCATGGGTCCAGTCGGTTCGATTTGGCTGATGAAACGTCTAACCTATTTGGTTGGTTCTAGGGTTTATTTTGTAGAAGTTAATCTTGTTGAGTCTGTTTTGAAAAAACGATTTTTAATAACAATAATAATATGATACGGAGTTAATATTATTTTTATTGATTAAATTGAATAATTTAATTTATGAATTATCATAATACATTATATATAGTTTAAAAGTTATTATTATAACTTATGTTTTGTAATATCCAATAACACATTAGATAGGGTTAATTCAAAGTCAGTTCCATTGGATTCCAACTAAAACCTATCCATTGGGGCTAACCTCATTTTAGTACCCAAGCTTTAAAATAACACTATAGAGTACTTGAACTCTGAAACAAAAATTAAAAATTGCAAATCTAATACCCATTGTTAGCTATTCATCAATTATTTGTACCATATGATAACATATGCGATTTAATTGAATAACTGAATAAAGGATTACAACAACAACAACAATCTAAGTCCTCTTCTCAGTTGACGTTTTTCTATGTAGCTTCTCCGACATAAAGGTCAAGGCATTAAGAGAACAATGGTGCCAAATCATAATCAAAAGGGATTTAAATATCGTTATTTTGACCATTTCAAAATTATGTTTCACTCACATCTTCAAAACTTGAAGGGTATTTGTGTTCTTTTGCATGCCATCTAACGTCATTTTTTTTATAATGTAATTAGAGTCGAAATCTCTGAAAACAAAAATTGTATACACCCATCCATCCAACCATATAGAGAATATCTCTCCATGAATTGAACATGAAGATAATTTCCAATGGGGAAAATTTATGATACGGAAAAGATATGATATGGAAAGAGTTTTGACCAATCAAAATCCACCTATGAATTTTGATAAATAACACTTGATTCCTTACCATACTTACGATTCCAGTTTATTGGTCAGTTGTTTTTCAGATATCATATATTTTCCATATCATAGTCGAACCCTTTCCAATGTAAGGCTGAATGTTGAATGCCATGCTCTCAGGATCTTTACACGATTATGATTTTTGCTTTTAGGATATCGTACTCATGTTATTAGGGGGTTGTCCCATTATAATGAGATGTTCCTCCAATCCTTCAAGACTGTTGTCTGTTGTCGGTCTTCTTTTTATTGGGAGAATGACGGTTCAGCCCAAGGTCAGAATTTGTAAGTTCAAAGTACATTTGGGGTAAGTGCCAACTCGGAATTGATGCCAATTCACGGGCAGCTATGAGTGCATAGAGTGTGGGTTTTTGACATTTTGAATGTTTATAGCTCCGTAGTGGAAATTAGAAATCTACATTGGGCCTATCCGTACTTCTCTGTTTTTTATTTTGGGTAAAGTGTCTGTTGGTGGTCAATAGACAGCTTCAATGCTCTGGTTTGTCCCTTACAACTCACGTGGGTGCAAGTTGGGCCTGGGTTGAGGGTTTTGTAAAAATGAGAATGTGCCACGTCTGAAGTTAAGAGTGTCAATGGATCGGTTTTGAGTTGGATCCCGCCCAAATCAAAATCAATTTGGATAGATTGGACGAACTAATACGACATTAAAATGGACTAATTCAGACATAATAGTCCAAAGCATTTTTCGATTGGATTGGACCTGGTCCATCCGTAATGGATTTATATTGGATCGGGCCAGATTGAACTAATATTTGGTCCACTGAATGAAGATAAGAGAATACATGTGCCAATGGACCAGGTATGGATTGGAACCAATCTAAATTAAAACATATTTGAATGGATTGAACTGTCCATAAATTGAATTGGACCATTCCAAAATGATCCAAAATATTCATTGGATTGAACTGAACCTGGTTCATAAAAAATGGACTCATATTAGACCAAATAGGATTGGACCAAATCCAGTCTAATTGACACCCTTATCTAAAGGTCTAAGCCAAAATAATAGTTTTTCAAATCGGGTTACCCGATTTACATACCTTGAAATATTTGCGTCGCATATACACCACCAAGTACATGGGTTATATTTTTAATGAATTTATCCTTACTGTTTTTTTTTTGGGTAAAGTTTCTTGTTTGTTTTTTGTACGAGGGATATATACAAATTCTATTGTTTGAAAGTGTTGAGTCTTGGCTTGAATGGTACCCCAGTGAAGTTGACCCACCCATGAGCGATCAAGGGAATGGTTCTTGAGTTTTTTGACCAGTCCTTCAATATCTAAGTATACCAATAAATGATTGCAATTGTAACGGATTGTTGATTCCAAACCTTGAATTAGAGCTCTAATTTCTGCATCATTGCTCCCATTTTCTTTGCATGCTATTCCTTGCCCTTCCAGGATTGTTTTTTATTCTGAATTCTTGAGTACATATCCAATTCCTGCCTGACTTGTTTTTTCATCAAATGAGCCGTCTGTGAACAAGGTAAATGAAGGAGTGATCGGATTCGACCTTTGTGACGAGGTGTTCATTCTCTTCTTTTGCAGTTTTTGAAAATTCTTTGAAGGTGTTGCAAGCTGATTCAATGATTTTCAAGGGGTGAATTTTTTTCTTTTGAAAGATCCATTGATTCCTTGCTTTCCATAACTTGTATAGTATCACTTGGAATTTGGAGAGCATGTAGATTTTCTCCATTTTGGAGAGATGGCCTGGTAATAAGTAGAACCATTCTGTAAGGTACTGATGAAATGGTTTGTCTTTGGTGTGTTCTGGGTTTACTCCTATTTGAGCATGGCACTAGATTGCTCTAGCCAGAGGGCAGTGAAAAAACAAATGGTGAAATGATTCAATTTCTTGTGAACATATAGCACATAGCATGTCTAGCTCTTGGAGCTAGGCCTTGCATTTTTCTTTTGTTTTGATACTCCCATGTATTGCCTTCCACATGAAAACTTGGAATCTGTATGGGATTTTTGGTTTCCATAATAGCTTCCAATCAAATACTTGATTTGAAGACGAGGGGGGGCTTGCGAGAAGGATATGTATGCTGATTTGACAGTGTATCTACCTAAGTTGTTCCTTTTCCAAACAAGGGTATCTGCTTCTAGTTGTGAGTTTATCCTTATTTCAATTATATGGTTGATCGAATCTGCTGTAAAGTGTTGTTGGAGAGCTTGTAGATTCCATGATCCATTTGAAAGTAGCAAATCAGAAACTCTTAAGTGAGTTCAAACTTGCAAACCATTATTTGACAGTTGGGGAATCCCTCTAGGTAGTGTTGGAATCCATGGATCATGCAATGCATCAATACTTGATCCATCCTTGATCAGCCAGATCACTTCTGCTTTGAGTTCTTTCATGATTTTAACTACATGTTTCCACCAGAGAGAACCATGGAACTTTGGTTCAATTTGAAATGGGTTGCGGTTTGTGATATATCTTGCTTTGATTTTTTTAGCTAGGAGTGTGTTGGGGTTGGTGAGAATTCTCATACTTGCTTCCCAAGCATTGCCTTGTTCATATGTAGACTTTGTTTATAGCCTAATCGCCCCTCTGATTTTGGTTGGCAAAGCTTTGACCAAGAGATTAGCTGCTTTTGTTGCTTCTCTTCATTGCATGATCACCAGAAGTTTCTTTCTTCTTTATCCAATTTATCAATAAGAACTTTTGGTAACATGGTAGTGGACATGGTATATGTTGGTATAGATTGAGTGACTGCTTGGATGAGAGTGGTGCAGTCAGCTTGAGAAAGCAATTTTGCTCTCCAAGATTCTGTTTTTGATTTAATCCTCTCAGTGAGGTATCTGTGTTGTTGTGTGATGTTTTTCCCTAGCCATAGCTTTGCACCCAAATAGCTATCGGCTTCAAAGCTCGTATGGACCCCTAGGTGTTTTGAGATGAATTTCCTGTGTTGTCTGTGAATTTTTTTGCTGAATAGGATGCTTGACTTGCTATAGTTGATCTTTTGACCAGAGGCTTCTTTAAACTTTTGTAGCAAGGATTTTAAGCTTTTAACTTTGTTGTATTCAGCTTTACAAAAAATGATGCAGTCATCCGCAAAAAGGTGTGTGATTTGTTGGGAGTCCCGATTGAGTTTAATGCTTTCCAAATTCTCTAGAGAAATTTCCTTGTTGATTAATTGTGTGAGGACTTCCATCCCTATGATAAATAAATATGGTGATAAGGGATCTCCTTGCCTTAGTCCTCTCTTCAGATGGAAGTGTCTTGAAACTTCTCTTCCCATTTTGATTGAGAAGGTGGGAGTGGATATGCACTCGTAGACTAAGTTGATCCAATGCTCTGGAAAATTCATATTTCCCATTACTAGTATGGTGTAATCCCATCCCATACAGTCAAAAGACTTGGCATGTCCAGCTTGAGAGCTATCCAACCTTTGCCTTTTCTGTGCTTCCTCATTTTATGCACAATTTCTCTTGCTAGGGTAATGTTGTCTGTAATTTGTCGAGTTTTGAGAAATTCTACCTGATTTGTTGAGATCAGATCATGCAAAATAAGTTGGAGTCTGTTGACCATCCATTTTGAGATCATCTTATATGCAACATTGCAAAGACTGATAGGGCGGTAATGGGTTGTGCATTCCAGAGCTTTGTTTTTGGGGATGAAGACAAGGTTTGTGTTGTTCAATTCTTTTGGTAAATGCCCAACATTATAGAAGCTTTGAATCATCTGGTAGACGTCTTCCCCTATTATGTTCCAATATTGTTGATAGAAGAAAGCTGAGAACCCATCTGGCCCAGGGGCTTTGTGCGGATTCATTTGTTTCGCTATCAAAGAGATCTCATTCCTTGATGGTCGATGTGAAAGGTGTAGGTATGTAACGCTCACTCAGACCCTTAGAGAACATCAAACATCAAGATTAACACTACAAAGCACACGCGAGCAACTCACAACCAACCCCTATGTTGCGATGAACCTGTAGCACACCAGCATCCCTACGATGAACCCGGAAT